ACTGATGTAACCCTAGAAGCCCAGTTACCTATATGGGGATTGGTTTAAATTCCCCATAATACGGGGTCCTATATTTAGGTTCCCAGGATAATACGGGGCCCTATATAAATTTCCCCCATTTGGGGAACAGTAATTTAGGGAAACTACCATATATTGGGTTCCTGTCCTTGGGTTCCTATATAAACTTATACTATCGAAAACCTAAGTTCCTACTATATGGGAAACTGGGCTTGTAGGGTAAGATGGCTCTCCTTACTTCAGACCAGAGGGCCCAAAGGCGATCCTAATTATTCTGACGAAAGGCTCTGAAATTGTACGACCCCAACAAGATCTGGGTGCATTTGCCATTGACCCGCGGCCAGAAAGAAAATCCAGGGCGTTAGGTGGCTTATGGGGGGATGTATACAGGGAAGTCGGACAAAGAAGCGGCCATTTGCTGCGGGTAGCGATTCATAGCTGCGCTGAACCCTAAACCTTAAACCCTAAAACCTTAAAGCCTTGAACCCTAAACCCTAAATTGATGCTCAGACTGGGTTTTGGAGCGTGCGCACAGGGACCCTTTTTTGAATGGACACCAGGGCCCATTTGGGTTTTCCATGTTTATCGGAGGGAGAGAACACTGATCTGTTTTCAGGGCTAACCTGAGCCCCAAAAGTAATCCCTTCCCCCTAATATTATTAAAACCACCTCTATTATTAACTAATACATCCGGAGGCCTAAAAATCCAGAAGACTACTTTTAAAAGGGGAAGACTACTTTTAAAAGGGGCCACCTAATAATGATATAGGGGGGAGTTCTGAGGTCACTAGGGGGCATAAGAAGAACTACAAAGGAATTAGGGGGATCCCCTTCATTTCCTAGGTTTTGAGTATTTTTCGTATATGGTTTTAATAAAGGATTTTCATACAAGAAATGAAAGCGTTTCTAATTGATTTTATTGCAACTTTAGCCGTATTTAATTGAATCGCAAGTGAGTTTCATTCGATTTCAATTGACTTTATAAGGAATTTAATCCAATTTCAATTGATTTAATCGGTATTTTAATTCGATTTCCAATGATTTTACAAGGAATTTTAATCAAATTTCAATTGATTTAAAAGGAATTGTTGGTTCATTTTCAATTGATTTCAACGGTATTCTAATTTGATTTCAAATGCTTTTAAAAGGAATTCATTAATTTTCAATTGATTTTGCCGGTATTTTAATTCGATTTCAATGGATTTTAGAAGGAATCTTAATTGAATTTCAATTGGTTTCATTTTAATTCGATTTCAACTGATTTTAAAGGAATTTCAAATCGATTTGAATTGATTTTGAAAGGAATTTTAATCAAATTTCAATTGATTTTACAAGGATTTTTTAGTGAAATTTCAATTGATTTTAAAAAGAACTCAGTAATTTTCAATTGGTTTTAAAAGGAATTAATCAATTTTCAATTGAGTTTAACGGTATTTCAATTCGATTTCAAGAGAGATGTAATCAATCAATTCAGTTTCAGTGAATTAATTATTCATTTTCCATCGAATTTAAAAGGATTTCAAGCCAGCCCTATCTAATCCTTGAAATAACTATCCACCCCTAATACCAAATAATTTTGTCGGGATCGGGATTATTGAATATTAGGGGGGGAGGGGGGGGGGACGTCGTTCAATATTAGGAGGAAGGGATTAAACAAACATTGCCTTTTGGTCTATCTTTGGGGGTCTTGGGCAATTGTTTCTTTGGGGCCAGGGACGGTCTAGAGATAGGATCACTTTTCGAGGACCCAAGCACCTGTGAGTCCAAACCCTTTTAAGGAACGTGCTTTGGGTCATCTCCCTCTTCTTGAATGCGGCGGTCTTCAGTGCAGATGCCGGCGTCTGTGATGCGGTTCAGGGCTTAGGGCCTATAGGATCTAGGTACCCAGTGGTGCCCTTTTTCCCTTTTTGTTATGGGGTCTCCTTACTGAAGCTGAATCTTAGGAAAAGGGGTACCTTATCATTAAGGGGTTACTGGGAAAACTAGGGATTGAAGATGATTTTTGACTGTCATGACTATTGCTCTGCCTGGACCTTGATGTCCTTCCTTTTGGGGGTTACGTCTTACACGTTTGTAGGTTATATCACGATCAAGGTGGGGTATTACTTGCTACACGACACAATGGATGGGCAATTTAAAGAAGCCTCAACCGACCTCACCCTAAATGGTGGTTCATATCGCGAATCGTACCAAAATAGCCTTAGATGGGAATTCAAATTATCCTAAATTACCCTGAATGGTGGTGACGGGTTTGAGGCTTTAGGGTTAGGTTTAGCTTCTGATTGCTATTAAAGTGTGTAAAGCTGGCAAAGCGCGTGTCATAGGTGCTGTCTTCTTTACGCGAGGGTAGAAACTGTTCAGCACGCTATGCTTGTTCTGCGTCTAAGGGAACTACTTGGAGGCCATCCATGGGTACTTCGAACTTACAACCCCAGTCATGAGCCCCCCGAACTTCCCCGATATGGTGATAATTAGGTTGTCATTATAACAAGCTTAAATGAGTTATGAGTACCCATGGACAACGAAGCGGCAGGTGGCAGCAGAAGAGAGGGAGCCTGGATGGTGGCCGCCCTCATCTTTGCGCTCATCCCGCCTGTAGCGACAGCAAATGTGATTTTCATCTTCCTGTTTCCATCATACACGTCCTCTGACTGCTCTTTCCTGCACAAGGGCTTCGTCGTCGGGGCATCTGGGTTTTGTTGGGTGTTGTACATGTTGTACATGCATCTGAGCTTAAGGCATTGAAGTTTCTTCCGTAACCAAACCAATACGAAGCAAAATTGATGCTTGACCAAAGCTTTTTGGGGGTTCAGGGTTCAGGGTTTAGGGGGTTTCGGGTTTAAACCCTAAACCCTAAACCCTAAACCCCCTTTTTAAGGGGTATGGGCCACTACTTGGCCTGCTTGGGGTTCAGGTGATAGCTTTACCAACTGTGTGGCGAAGTGTGGCTGCTTTTGGGGATGCCTGTCACAACGGGCCCTAAGGGTCCGAGGACCCAAATAATAGGGCTTTAGAGCCCAAATATTACACTATGAATGGTATTCGGGCCCTAAAACCCTATTAGTTGGGTCCTTGGACTCGTAGTCGTAGGGAGGTGTTGGGAGCGCGCCCAATGTGGTGAGAGACAATGTGAAAGCCTGAAAAATGAGTACTCTTATCCCCTGGGCCCCTTGTTTGCTCATAGTATATACACCCCACTGCACGATCCCAACTACTTGGCCCCCTGCATCACCCAGGTAGTCGTTCCATCCTCCTTCTTCTTTTCGCAATTCTGTTCGCGACAGTCCTGTCTGATTATGATGGGCCCTAACCGACACCCACGCAAAGTCGCACGGCTGCTGGGGCGTTGTTATCCCCTCTCTGTTCATATTATAAAGCACCCCCCAAGGCTAAATAATTACACAGCTGATGTATTGGTGATATGTGGAATATTAGCGGGCGGGGCTGCAGTATTCGGGGAGGCGAGTACGAAAAGCTTTCTGCGTCGAATAGGGGATTCGCAGACAGGAGTGGTGTTGATGTTGGTCAGCGCGGGCATCATGATGCTATTGAGAATTAGCTTGAGAATTAGCTGGAGCAGGGCCACAAGAAGCTAAAGTCTTTCACCACTAAACTTTGCAGCCGCTCTAGCAGTTTCCATAATCAGGGTGGACCCAGTGTACACCCCAAAACTGCAGTCCCTAGTTGGGGGGTCACCAAAACGGGACTCCAAGTTTCCGGACCCCCCCCCCCTCTCTCAGCTCTTGACCACGTGGCTCCTGGCTTCTCACCCTACACCCCAAACCCTCAACCCTAAACCCTAACCCTCCAACCCTAAACCTCCAACCCTAAACCCTCAACCCTAGACCTATGAGGCTTCTCACCTTGTCGATGATCCTGGACAGCTTTGCTAGGAGGATATTGCTCTGCGGCGTGCAGCTGGGTTTTCACTGGCAAAGCGGTTTAGGGTTTTAGGGTTTCAGGGCTTAGGGCTTGGGACCCCAGAAGTGGATAAGATGATGGCCTTCAAAACTGGAAAAACGAAGACACAACAAGAATTTCTGTTGGATTCAAGCCTCAAAAGCCCTAAGGTCCCCTGGGCTGGCCCTATTTTGCCTTTTTCACGAACAAGAAATGCCAAGTACCCAGGGCCCGGTGCGCAGTGCTGGGTTGGTCGGGTTTAAGGTTGCAAGTAGCCCAAAGCCTAAAACGTTCGGATAGCTCTCAAAATCGGGGCAGCTTAGCAGACGCCACCGTACCATATAGTCCTCAGTCTAGGGACCCTGTACGAGAAGTCTCTTTTGGCGACAGAGGTAAACACTTGAACCCTGACCCATAAGAGCCTAAGCCCCGAAAAAATCCAAAATTTCTTCCGCACATTCCTACACCCCAACATTCCTGACCCTCAAACAGCCCTTCACCCCTAAACACCTAACCCATCCTCAGCCTCTTTGGGGATTATAACCCCTATAAACCCTAAACCCCTAACTCCTACATCCTCAGCCTCTTCGGAGTTAATAACTTATAAGCCCTATAAACCCTAAACCCCTAACCCCTGCATCCTCAACCTCTTTGGGTTTATATCCCCTTAAGCCCTAAACCCCTAACCCCTACATCCTCAACCTCTTAGGGGGTTGAGGCAAGATTTGGGCCTGATCTTTCTATCCAGCCTGGTCCTGGGTCTTGGTGATGCCCGGATCACGTCTGATAGCTTTTCTGTGTGGGTCCTAGGGTTTAGGGTTTATAGGGTGTTTTGGGGTTTAGGGTTTAGGGGTTTAGAGGTTTAGGGTTTTGGGGTTTAGGGCTTAGGGGTTTAGGGTTTATAGGGTGTATATCTCCCAACGTGTTTTTGTTGTGTGTAGGGTGTAGTGTCTTTTGACATAGGTCTTGATCTCTTGGGGAAGCAACGCGGTTTAGGACGTAGGGTGTTTTTTCTTGGAGGGATGTTGAGGGTTTCCTGCTTTGGGGGGGCTTTAAAGACTTGGGGTGCTCAGTTCAAGGTTTCAGGAAGGGCTTCACTTTGTCAGAAGTTGTAGAAGCTCGACTGAATTGTAAAGGAAATCTAAATTAGCCATAAACATTAAGCCCCTAAACCCTCAACCCCTGACCCTAAATCTAACAGCAATCAGGATACCATAGCCCAGATCACTGTAGATCTGCGCGACGGTCTGGTATATTCCTGCATCTGAGCCTGCATCCAAGCCCCCATTCGGGTTTACTATTTACAGTTCGGGGTTTAGGTCGTAGGTCTTGGGGATCCAAGAAGTGGACCATTTTTGTTACAAGATCAGGGGATTCTTGGGAGGTTCTATTTGTTGAAGGGTTTTTGTGGGTCTGGGCCAGAGTTTAGTTAGGGTTTAAGAAGGAAACAGCTTGATGTTTGGTGCAGGCTGCGGTACCAAACCCTGAGCGACTCAAATTTAACTCAAAGTCTCAAAGCTAGATGCCCCTAAAGCCTAAACCCTAAGCCCAAAATAGTAGTCTCCATTTTCTTTTCCATTATCCTTACAAAACCTCTATATAACCCCTAAATAACCCAGATATCCCCTATTCAATCTCTGCAGGCCTGAGCTGCAGCACTTCAGACTACAAGCTCTTTGAGCACCCTGGCCGGCGCCGCCTTCGCGCAGACTCCTTGCTCCTGGGCTGTAAGACCTGTCATCAAGTTTAGGGTTTAGGGGTTTAGGGTTTAAGGGGTTTAGGGTTTAGGGGTTTAGAGTTGAGGGGTTTTGGGTTTCGGGGTTTAGGGGTTTAGGGTTTAGGGGTTTAGGGTTTAGCGCCCCCAAGGTTTCCCCTCAATCAAGGCATGTTAAGGCTGTTTAGGGACAATTTGGGAAAATTCGGGCTAGTTCAGGCTAATTTGGGGGGAGCCCGAGGGGGGGGGGGGAATAGAGTAGGGAGGCCCGGATATGAGTCAGGGCTTGGGTAGTTTGGTTGACATAGGATTTTGCAGTAGCTTCTGAGACATGCAGATTCCCGTTCGGGATCCCTATGATGCAGATTGCTCAATTGATTGATGGGGGCAAGACGACCTGCTTTTTCACCATAATAGATCATGATGAGAAGGCTCCTGCACTACATGTCTGAGCACCTGGCCATCGTATGCCTCTCGGGCTTCGCAATCCTGGTCCAGATAATCAACTTAAAGCGCCCCTTGCCGGATGTGCTTTGGTCTCTGGTGGCCTTGGTTCTTCAGATGGCAGTGCGACTGTTTTTTGACCTCATCGTCTTCTGCACGGAGGGTCAGGCGGGCCATGCATGTTTTTCAAGCAAGGGCCGTACTCTTAGGGACCCTATCGATTAAGGGGATTATGTCGAGATTACAGGTGTCCTTTCAGGGGCCCTGTAGCGCAAATTTGACCTGGAATGAAGCGTCCCAATGCCGCTGTCTATGCCAAGTTGCTGGGGGATTGACGATGAAAAGATCTGCATCCCAGCGAGTGGTGCTAGTCAGAAAGATCGATAGGCATCGTCGAAACCTTGGGAAGCAGCTTGAGGCTCCCAGCCCCTAGAAATGCAGCTCTAAGCCCTACACCCTGTAATCTGTGGCAACCTTAAAACGATCATATAGTTGTGATAGGGTCCTGATGTCGCAGGGTTGGGTCCCTGATCAAGCACAGGTGGGCTGCATTGCCAGAGCACTCTTTCGGCTTTCACAGTGGCACGGCATTGCAGTGCTGGAGGCCGTTGGCAGTGGCATTAAGAGTCCGCGTAATGTAGAAGCCTAAATCATTACCAATACTGTTGATGCTGAAAATCCTGCATTACTTGCGTATACCATGGCATTATACTTCGCAAGGTATAACGCGCTTAGGATCATGCAGGTTTTTGTGTGTATCCACCACATTATGATGTTTGGTTTTTGGAGTATTACCCCGACGACAATGGAGAATCAAATGGATGCGGAAGTGGCAAATTACATGGAAGCAGTGCTTATATGGGGGCTTGCAGCGATCATTGCAAATTGCGCGGCCCATTCCTTGCAGTATTGTGTTCTAGCTTCTAGCACACACAAAAGGCTTCATGTCTGATCAATGAGTAGTCTACCGTAAGGGCTACCTGCGAGTCATCTTGGATGGTATGTATAGGATTTAATTTAAGACTCACAGGAGTGGGGTCTGATTGTCCATACTGTCCATATGGCAGTTCATTTCCGCTGAAATTAGATACCGTGCCATACAGAAGTTCTCCCTGTTTCGGTAATTGTTGCGCTAACGGTACAGAGGTCGGTGTTTAGGGTCGACAGCCCTTGGGCGGCAATACTGATATAGGAGCTACTAGCCCTAAACCCTAACCCAAATTCCTAGACCCTAGGTAACATACTTATTTAGGTTCCTTTGGTGTGCCTTTCCCGGAGAGGTCTGGCGGAAGTGTCGTAGAGAGCTTCTCTTCTTTTCCATGCATCTCGGGTGCTGTGAGAGCCATGATTTTCATTGCTGTCTAATTTTGGGTCAGAGTAATTTGGTAGCTTTGTGAAAATGATATTCCTTTTTTTGGATATACCTAGAGGGTCAGCGGGACTTAGTAAGTAGGTCCATAAACCCTATAACGCATATCATAACCCTAGTTATCCCCAATATATATATAGACCTATTTATTAAGTCTCCCTGACCCTCCAAGTGGTAGAATGCGGCTCCTAAAACGCAGGCCCAAAGGGTATCTAGCCAAATCTTCCCCACCCGCCGCCTGGCAGGTATCACGGATTCCCCTATTCTCTGCCAACCCCCCCCCCCGGCGGGTTCCCCCTGGTATGGGTAAACCTAGGAGGGGCAGTATAGGTCAGTTGGAGAACCCTTTCTTGTAGAGCTGTAAGAACAGAGGCATATGGCCCTCACCGCTGCGGTTTATGGGCAGTACTTCTTCAAGTCCTTCTTCGAGAAGTCGCTTGCACTGGAGCCTGAAAACCATTGGCCCCATTGGGGCGTGATGAAGTAGACCAGGGTGTCTCAAAACATCGGCATTGTTTTTTTTCGTGGTGTCCCAGAGAATACACTGCACGGAGACTGTGTTGTGTGACCCTGTCTGCTTGACACCCTGAACCCTAAACCCTAAACCTTGCATACGCAGTTTTTCTCATCATAGAAGATTTGGTGGTACAGGCTCAGGTGAGGAAGGACCTTCTAGGGCACGCTTGACTTGATGAGTGTCATTTTGCATGATTGACACCTTTAACACTTAACCCTAAACCCCTAAACTTTTCAACTCTTAGGCTCTGATAGGGTTCGAGTCAGGTAAAGGGATGATATCGGCAACGCTTGGATGGAAAGGATGGGTTGAAGCATAAATCAGATAGGAACAGCAACAACGATCAGAATCCATTCGCTGCGTGTGATGCGCAGCCCAAGCCCCTAAGGCGCATGGCGAGCGCGAAACACGTCCTGTCACTTTGCAAACTAGTCATGCTGCACACGTTTTGTACACGACTCTCCAAGTTGAGGACCAGTGGAAAATTGAACGTTTCTCACTTGTTGCGGCCCTGCAAAGGCATCTAGAATAAAGTCTGAGACATCGTAGACAAAATATGGCATAACATGTCCTCCTCCATTCTCAATTCTTATTGAGCCCTCTGAGCCCCCAAACAGGGCCCATCCTCTAGAGGCCTAAGGTTCATTAGCAGCAGTGCTGAGGGAAATGAACGGTAACTTGTCCTGCCTGAGATGCTCAGCTATGTATTGTCCTGAGAACTAGGACTTTGAGAATGAGGGGATGAGAGCCGCAGCTTAGGTTATGACATTTAGTAGTTGTTCCAAATACCTGTCCCCAAAATTGCCATAGTCTAGGTTCCCTGTTTGGTTACGATCCCCTTTTAAGGAAGTATATTCCCAATGGTCACTTCTTTACAAGGACCTTTAGAACAACCCCCACTTAGGGTGAGGCGGCTTTAAACCAAGCATGCTGGAAGATGATGTCGGTGCATGATTGCGGGGTCTACTGAATCTACGCCTTGGAGAGACAGGACATGCTTCTTATACGATTGTGAGGAGGTCCCATGCTCAGCTTGAATCAGATAAGCAGCAGAATCTGAGTAGAAGCCATGCGCATTGCAAACTTCTTGACCCTTCTTCATCTACAAGCATAATACATATATATATATATATGTGCCATACTGCAGAGAAACTCACAAACCTTAGATCGCCTCTTTCAAGAAATCAGTCTGCCGGCAAAGTGCCATAGAATCAACCTTTTGTGAGCCCCATCTGCGTTGTGCACACAAGCTCGAATGTCCTTGTGCCTCGGTTAAGGGTTAAGGGTTTAGGGTCCCCCAACAAAGCCCAAAGCCCATGATTTTGAGACAGCCCCAGACACCTGCAAAGCTCTCAATTTCTGCGCAATCCAGACCCCTGGGAGGATCTCAAAATCTAATTCTTCAATATAGAAGCTCAGGGGACTTTTTTTTCCTTCTGCGTGTCTGGAAGTTCTGCTCAAGAAGGCAGTCTGCAGCAGAGAGACAGAGTTTAAGAAAGTCCGGTCTAGGGTTAGGGGCTCCGGGCTTAGGCTTCCAGATTTCGGGTTGAGTTGAGAGTTTGGGATGTAGTGTTTAGGGTTCAGAACGCAAGGAAGTTGTAACCTTACTTGCCATCCATGGAGACATTACATCTGCAACTAGAACAGCCTTCCCCGCTGGATATTGAAAGCTGGCTTTGGACAGAATAGCTAGGTAATTTGCGTATAGCCTAAACTCTAAACCCTATGTACCCATATTGTGGTGCCTCATTTCCTAAAATCAGAAGGCATCAAATCTAAGCCTTCCAAATGAAGCAAAAAAGAAGCTACTGTTGGTTTTGACTAGACTTACTGGTTCTTAGCAGGGTTTAGGGGTTCGCGTTTAATATCTTATATGGGGATTATGTAGGAATTATATTTCCTTATTCCCTATACTGAAACCCAGTAGTTCGTTCATGTGCGAAGCCCTGAATCCTAGACCTTTTGTCAGAAAACGTTAGTGGTCGCGATGGACCACATTGCGGCCGTTGGCTTGTACAGCAGCCAGATACCACACGTAGGTGCGCAAACCCGCGCAGAAAGCTTGCTCGAAGCAGCACAAGAAGAGAAATATCTGGACTTCATCTAGGGATTGTACCCTGACCACTTGCCGATTGTAGAAGAAGTCAAGGGGGCATACCAAACTGTCGGATTTGTTGGCCACCAGAACGTTTTTTTGTTGGCAAAAGGCTCAGTCCATCAAACTTGCATATTGTGAAGTATATGTGTAGTTTGTTGCCTGCCCAACCAAGGTTTTGTGTTTAGGGTTTCGAATGCTTCTTGAGCCTCCACTAGCTCCAACCACTGGCTGTACTGTCAGTGGCAGATTGTTGGGGTGTGCCCATTCTAGTACAATTACATAGTGGGGGCATATTCATATCATCGGGGGAGAGGTTGATTTTTAGGGGCAGGGGCTTCGGTGCCATTGCGTTCTAGAGCGGAGCGCATGTGACTAAGCTGGCGTCTATCCGAAAAAGGCATAAAATTCAGGACTGAGCCCTCCCAAGCTCCATATTGCCCTTTGACCCATGGCCTGTCGTTTGTATTTTTTTGTTCAGGAAGTCAGAAAGGCGGTTCTTAATACCACGTCGGAACTATAGGCAGCTAGTACCCTGTATGACCAGCCTCACATACCCTGTAAAACGCTACAAGTTCCAACTAGGTGTATTCACAGCGGCCGACTTTTGGGACCCATAGTCAGGACCTTCAAGTTCGTCTCAAGCGCAGCCCATGAGGGGTGACGGTTCGGGATAGGGTAATGGAAAAGAAAATGGAAACTACTATATAATAAAAAAATACTAACAATAAGTTTAGGGTTTGGGGCTCTTGCTTTGAACGTCCAAGTAGAATCCCGTCAAATCTTACACAGATGAGTTAAACGCGGATTGCAAATACACTTCCAAGTCTATGACGGTTTCCGTAGATAGGTGTCACCAATCTCGACCACAGTATACTGTAATCAGTTTCATAGGTACTCCCCAAAGGCCTAATCTTTGGCCATGTCCTAAAACATCATTCATGCCGCACTAAATGCAAAACTTGGAAACTGCGTTGGACAGCACCGATGCTGCTGTAAAACACCAGGACTAAAACTACCTTGGACGCGCAAGCTGCAAGGCTGTCTATACACGCGAGAAGGAACTGGGCTGGGATGAGGCGTGCGCACAGCAAATTTGAGACAGGCTTTCGGGTTCCTCGGCAATAGCCTGGTACAGGGACCCTGCCACAGAATTTTGCATCAGTATACTATGTCCCTATGCTAGGGCCTTTTGTAATCTGCATCCCAATCAGGCTTCAAGCTTACCACGCGTCAGCCTAGTAATTAAGACACATTACTCTGAAGCTTAGAAGTGGTGGACAATTATTTTTAGTACCCATGGAGTGAGTTGCCACTTCTCAAGTCCCCCATGAAATCAAAAACCCTAAAACGTACATCGTGCAGGCTTTTTCCCAAAATCCATAGGGCCAGAGGATACACCTTCGCGTGTGGGCCACACGAAGCCGAAGTGTTTACCATGCAGGCTTTATCCTAAGGGTCCAAGTGCTCGAATAGTAGATAAGTTGGGCCCCAGTGGGTTCCTATATAGGTACTTTGGGTCTTTCTTACATACTATTTAGGTACTTTGGACGCTTAGGGCTAAGGGGTGATTTTTCTTGTTCAGGGGTGCTTGAAGGCAGGCATCCGTGCGTATCGTGATGTTTTATTCCAATCCTTGAAACTTACTTGGGGGTTAGCAGGGTATAAGAGAATATGCCGGGGTTATTTTGGGACAATGGGAAAGAGAATGGAAAATACTACATTAGAATAGGGTACATAGTGCGGTTGTAGTAGGGAATAAGGGGATATAATCCTTGGATAAGCCCTATACAACATCTTCCAACATTCTCTACTAGCTCTAAACCCTAGAGTTCCCATAAATATTCCCTTATTCCCCACTAAGCGGGTGATGAAGCCCTAAACCCTAAACCCTCAAGTTGAAAAATTTCAACCCAGGACAGGGCTTGGTTTAGGGTTTAGGGTTTAGGGTTTAGGGGCCCTTTTGGGATTTCATCTCCGTTTGGAGTAGTCTTATTGGTGGTTAGTAGGAGATAAGGGAATATACCCCTACACTTTATAAGTAGGTAGGGTTTAGGGTTGAGGGTCAGTGGGACTTGATAAGTAGGTGAATAACGGGGATAACTAGGGTTGGTGACTGGGTTGTGGGAGTTATTAACCTACTTGCTAAGTCCCCCTGACCCTCCAAGTAGGGTATATAATCCCTATATAATCCCCATTATAATTTGCCCTTATCTCTACTAACCCTAAACCCTAAGCAGCGCATGTGGGCCAGGAGCTCCGTTGTCGTTGCCCTTATCAGCGCACTCGTTTACCATAGTGCATGACAGAAGCTTCCTACTGAGCAGTTGCGATTCTCACCATGGAGTTAAGGGTTTAGGCTTCAAGTATCCTGTTCTTGGGGTTCAAGGTTTAGGGTTTAGGCTTCAAGTATCCTTTTGTTGCGATTTTTGGGACAACCCTAAACTTTAAAACTTACAAATTTATAAACCGTGTTTTCGAAGCTTCTTCTGACTAGTTCCGCTACCTGCCCAGCCCGCCGCCCATGGCTCAGACGCACACTCACAACATGGCAAAGCCCACTAAAATTCTCAAGTGGAGCTTTAGACAATTTTGTATGGGTTCAGGGTTTAGAGTTCTCAAGTGGAGCTTTAGACAATTTTGTATGGGTTCAGGGTTTAGAGTTCTCAAGTGGAGCTTTAGACAATTTTGTATCTGATCCCTAAGCCCCTCGGAATTTTGAGAAGCACTGCTTATATGACCAAGCTACCATACGTGCTGTCAAGGGGTGTTAGGTTTGCCCATTACGGTTTAGGGTTAAAAGGTTTTTGTCTGCTTAGCAGAGGTCCGCAATTGTAGTGTCCGTTTTGTTTTTAATCCCTTTAGGGTTCAGGGT